TCGCTGCAGAGTCTCGTTCTGATACACTTGCGATAGCAAAGGGTTGTGTGCTTATAATAGCTTTGTTTCCCATCTTCCGGAGGTAAATCTTTCATTTTATGGAGCCAGACGTTTTTTTTTTTTTTTTTTTCCTATTCTCAGCCCTGCAAAGAAGTGTAAAAAGAATCCTCTTTCGTCACTACTGTGAAAAATGTAGAAATGGCCATTTAAAATTTGAGAAAAAAAATTGTTTTTTTTAGCAAAAATCACCAGTCTTTAAATTAAGGTCTCTAGGAATCCCTATAATGTAACATTTTTATGTAAGGATTTTTTTTTGTTTGTTTTTTTATTTACATTTTTTAAAAATCTACTCTGTTGTACAGAAATGAAAACACATGATTAGGTCAGATGAGACTAAAGGTCCACCTCATCTGTCCTCTCATTTAAGAAAATATACTAACACTTGAACTTTAGTAAAAGAATAGTCAGAATAAAGTGACACATGTTAAGGGAAAATTTTAACTACCCCAAAATTTGCATATTATTGCAGAACTATGATCCTAAATGGTCAATCAGTAAACCACTGATACAGATCAGTTCGTCCTGTCACATCACACCAGCTGATCGGGTGAGATCACAGGTCTTGTGTGCTTTCAGATCAGGAAGCAGGGGTTGCAGAACAAATGGGGCATGGCTGACACCTTGGAGCATTGTAGATTTCCCCTCACGAACGGTTCTGATGCAGCCGGCCTGTTCAAATATACTTCATGCTTTTAAACACAAGCAAACCTGTTGCACGTCATTCACAGCATGCTATCAGATTCTGCTGATCAACATCGTTCCAGTACAGACAGACACTGAAGGATGGTATGATACTCCCCTCTGTGTGCATCCACACTCTGTGCAGCAGCAACATCAGCAGCCGTCTTTGCATTGTGCGTCACACTTGCTCTACAATCGTCTTGTAGCCTATTAGCCTGTATTCTCAAGAACCAGGGTATTTTTTTTTTTTTTTTAGAAAAAGATAGCATAAATTACTGAGGGATCAAACTACTTTGCTGTTAATGTTATTGTATAATGTTGGTGCTTGCATGTAGCCGTTTTATCATGCAAATGCCTGATCACCAGTCTGCAGACCGATTTTCCTCTGGGGGCAAATGAAACGATCCCTCTCTCCATCCATCCATCTACTACTTACATCCATCAGTGGTGGGTGGACTTCAGCCTCTTAGTTCATGTCAGGACTTTTCAGCTGATTGTGTGTGCATGGTAATGATGTGTAGCTCATGGAATGAAAGCAAGATTTCAATTTGGCTACTGTTATGAATGCAAACACAAAGTCATAGTGGAAATAGACAATCGTGACTTCTCTAGCAATGGTTCAATTTGACTCGCCTCGACCTTCTAGAACGTTTTCAGAGAAGACCAGGTTCTGTTTCACTGGCAAAGACAGTTGCAGAAATATTGACAGAAGGGGCAAAAAAAAATGTGCCACTGGTGATTTTTTATTTTTTCCACTCAATGTATTGAAATTAAACAGTTATTTTTCTCTTTTGAAAATATCACCACCATCCCAGGGGAATTTGAAAACTTTTCAAATGTCTTCAACAGGGATGCCAATAAATGTGGTCGGCTAAGCATTTGGTGGTTTTCCAACATATTAATCTATTGTTTACTTTGATCTGTTCGTGTTGGTTCAGGCTTCTACCAGGGAAGCTTGGACAGCGTAAACCCACAAATTTTGTGTTTTCTGAGTTTTCTGAGTGGCCAAGGCACAGCTGCCATCTGTGTTTTGCTTTTTTTCTTCTCTCTACAGAGTCCTTTCACTGCTCTGGAAACTTTGGTGATCTCAGAGAGATATTGATTGCCTCCAGTCCGAGAGGGGCAACCCCACTGGGCTTCACTGCCTTCTCAGTTATACTGGCTGTGTGTCTGAAAGCACAGGCCATGTTCGGTAAATAGGAGAAATCACACAGATAAACATGGTGTAGAGCCATATACACTGCGTGTGAAACAAATTAAACTGTTCAAGCCATCAACTCCCATGCTGGTGTCTTTATAGAGGAGCCCTAGTAAATAAATACAAAACAGCAACCCATCATCCAGCGTTGTAGTATAATCGCACAGTTCATCTTTTAGTGGTGCAATGGAAGCAAACGCAAACCTCGTTTCTTTTTCCATCAATAATGCTTAATATGGATGTTTTGCCCTGGAGTTCACTTATAATACATTAAGGTAAGAGCATATCGGAAAATCCATGTTAGGTTTCATACAGTAAATTAGATTTCAAGGCTGATTGTATTTAAATCTCAATACTACTACATCTGCTGTCCTCCGCTTACAAAACACAAAACTGAGGCCTTGCACATTCATGATGTGCAGCCTGACGTGGCAAAAAAAAATCTTGCCACATTCAGTCATCTCACCTCTAAGAGATCTCCACTACCTGACCACTCCCCACTCCTTCTGAAATGACTTGTCAGAAGCACGAGCGTAGAGATAAAGATTTGGTGTAAGAACTCAAGATTACAGAGACGGCGAGGGGATCACACACGTACATGTTTGCAGTGAGAAAGAGTTTTGCGTGCGGCTGTGTGTGATGGCAAAATAACGGCAGGGGAAGAAGACAGATTGATGTGGGGAGGAGGAGAGGAATGGAGGGGAGCATTGTGAGCTTCTCATCTCATCCTACGTCCCTCCTGATGCCGTCTGCCGCAGCGAGCATTAAGCTTATGGAAGGTATTTGTTGTCTTGTCATTCTCTAACCTTCCCCGCAAGCATCAATGAGTTATTCAGATCTCCCCCCCCGATCCCCCCAGCTCTCACAACTAAACACAGAAAGCAAAATGGCACATTACTCATCACATATTATTTTCCATTCATTATGTCTTCAGCCTAGGTTTGTATTCACGTTTCTTTTGTTTTTAGATGGGCTGTTTGTAGGAAATAAAAAGGGGTTGCATGAACGTCTGACAACTGTGAGGTTTGACTGATTTTAGTAATCACGACTCCTCTGCTTGGCTATGATCCATATGCTCCCACCACAGCACCAATGCATAACCAGTTCATCATGGCTTAACCCCTCAACAGTCAAAAATTGGACTCCCAGCCATAAGGAAACCCACCATATGGAAGCATTACAAGATCATAACATTCTTCGCTCTGGAAGTTGATACAGAGTGAAGACTGAAAGTTAGCTATTTTTGGTAAATGTCTATCATTTAACACCTTTAGAGTTAGGATAAGGGTTTGTATTTGTTAAGGAACATCTACAGAAATTGTGGTGTAGCACTGCTCACTGAGCAAATCATAAATTTGCTAAAACAGATGCTACAAGCATCCTAAAATGTAAAATTCATAATTTTCTCCCTTTTAAAGTAGCAATATCCTGTTTTACTACAAATCCCATCTCTTTTCCCCCCAATATAAATACTAACCACTCTGACTAAGTGGTCCAGAATACTATCTTTTTGTAGTTCCTAAAAAGGAAGTCAAAAATATTAAAAATTGTAGTCTGCTAATCAGAGCTTTCCAAGAAAGGTGCATCTCTACCTCAAACATTTTGAGATCTACAGGTGCGTGCCAGTATGTCAAAAACAACATCATGGAAGAGTTATTTTAGAAATTTGATTCAAAAACTGATTCTCATACATGTTCAGGACACACACAGTGATGTAACCCATTATTTGTCCATTTGTTCTCTACCATACCATTTACTTCCACTCAACTTTCCATTAAAGTCCTTAAGCGCTAGCTTCTTTAGCCATAGCCTTTCAGTAGCTAATCCTCCTAGTGTGTCAAAACAGCAGTCCCACTGTGTTTGTGTGTAGAGGTTAGCAGGCTATCAAATTTCTTTATTAAATATTTTAAATTGATCTTGAGTAAATTTCATGCATTCTATGTAATAACATTTTAGGTTGTCATTCAAGTTAACGGCAATATTTCACAGGATCTACTTGAATAGTTAACAGTGGTGACAGTTCAACACACCTTGGGGCCCCCCTGCTGGTCTATGCGCTGAAAGCAGCAGCGTAGTTTGCTTGTGCCTCAGGCTGGCTCAGCCTAGAGGACATGTGCCATTGGCAGGTTTCCCCTCACGGGATAGGAGCTTTACATGTTTTGAGATCTGATTTAGCTTTGGCACCGAAAATGGTCCCAAAACCTTGAAAATGTCTTCTTCCCTTCTTTCTCCATATCATGCAATAACAATTAAAAGTTCATTTTGAAACTCGGAAGGGTGTAGCAAATGATCTCCTCCTTTTAATGCATGCATCAAGCATAACAACCTGTCCTCATTCTAATTAGGGGAGGACAAATAGGCTCACGGTGTTTTTGCTGCCCTGGGTTGGCAGAGGCGGCGGGCTCTAATAGTGCCCCGCTCTAATAGTGCCCCGAAATCCGATTCCGCGCTCCAAGGGAGCTCCTCTCCCTTATGGGCTGTCAATAACCCTCCACTGACCTTGTGAAAACACATTGACTATTCCCCAAAGTGAGCTTGCCTGACTGTAACACAACGCACGTCCGCTTCTGTCTCAATTCATCCGAGCGGGGAGACAGCCTAAACGGCTCAGGAGGGGTGTTCAAATCAAGAAGGCGTCCGTATGCCAAGTTTCGGAGGATGTCCAGACATCAGCGTACATGCGTACAGCCCTGAGCTCTACATGAAGACGAAGTATGCCGAAGACGCAGCCAAGATGCGCAAACAGTTATCGCCCACAGTGATGATGATTTTTTTTTTTTTTTTTTACTACTTCCAAAATGTACCAGTTTCTATGTAAACGTTAACATTCCCGCTAAACGGGATTTATGATTGCATGATAATGCGGGAGGCTTTAGACAGTGTGACAAGAGCAGAAGCTCATCTGCAGCCATGTCCTGTAACAACGTCTCCACGGTGCAGAGATTCGCCCGTGAGGCAAATCCACCACCAAATCCAGCGTGGTAACATTGCACCAAGCAGATGCACCACTCCTCGGAAACAGGGCACAGGGAGGCGCAAACACGGATACATTCATACATACCTGGTTTTTATGCCGAGTTCCATCTTCGAGTTCAGAAGAGCTATTCATGATTCCCCATCGGTCATTTACCATCCCACGGAGAAGGTGCGCATCAGATCCGTCTTTCTTCTTTCCGGGCGTCAGAGAATAAACCCACTTTATTTTATTATTATTTTTTCTTTCACATTAATATGTACCTGTCAAAGTCAATACCTGGTATTCAAGCCTACTCCATGGGAAAAAGGGGGGGAAAAAATGAAGAAAATAAGGATTGTAAGTTCTTCAGCCGCAAATTGCGCACCAAAATGAGATTTAAATTCCTCCCCGGAGTTTCCTCAGCGTCCGTTCATAATTCCATCTCAGTAGGGTAACACACGTGTTTTATTTGAAGGCTGCAGTCATTTTTTTTTCCTTTCACTTGCTTCCCATATGCATCAAGATTGCGAAGAAAATAAACCAAGAAACCTACAAATGATCCCAAGAGTAGGAGCACAGTATCTTTTTTTTTCTCTACTCCAAAAAAAAAAATATATATATATATATGTTTTGTCCGTCCACTTCGTAAGAAGAGAGTTAAGGTTGACCAAGTTGGAGTGCGTTTATTTTAAGTGAATTTGGATGAAGTCGTAAAGCAGCTGTGTCCTCTTCCCTCCCCCCCTTCTCCTACTTGTTTACGCGTCGGAAAAGGTTTTATGCCAAACCCGCTGGTGGATAGAGCCTCCCGTAGCCCATTTGCGCCAGTTGGATCACAGAGAAGCCTTTGACAAGACGGGTGTGAGGAGGGGAGATTAGAGTGCTCCTCTCCGCCAGTGAGCCGAGCGGGGCGCTCCGTTCCTCTCCGGCTGTCAGTTAGCGGCTCCCTTCCGTATGCGCGGCGCGCTCCAAGGCTGCGTCTTCTTCCCTTGTACCGCCCTGCCCTCGATTGCTGTACCACTGACTCACCGCCTTCTCTTCCACTCCACACCGCACCGATCCGCACCGTGGACCCTCCTATTCCACCGCAGCAGCAAGATCATGAGGAATCTATGCGTAAAGTGTAAACTGACCACCACGGACAGCGATTAAAAAAAAAAAAAAAGTTGCTTGTTTGGATTTCTGTCGAGATTCGGACTTTGTTAGGTGGATGAGCTGTCACCGTAGCCCACAATTTGAAACGTCTGCCTCTAAAAGCGGGAGGGTTTAATGGAGCCCTCATAGAGGGGTGTGGGGGGGGGTACTAAAACATAAGTCTGCCTAAATTATCTCACACTACCACTTTAAACCATTCCCATCTCCCTATGCAAGTGCATCTCAGTACTTTTAAACATAATCAAAAAGTTAATTTATTTCAGGAAATGCACCTTATACACATTATACTGTTACAAATGTTAGAATTCAAGCATTTATCTCTGATCATTTTTAGAGGAAATATATATATGTTTGTTTGTTTTGTTTTTTCAGAAAATCAAACATTACATAAGACTAATAAAGAGATGGAGAGTTCTAGTCATGTTAGCCTGAAAAATTAATGGATACATGCAAGTTGTGAGCCATAAAAAGGCTGCAGACTGCTGTATGCATGCAGGCATATTGGTAGAAAGCAGAGCAGAAAATAAAGTGTGGTAGAAATAAGGGGGGACAACAAGCCTTAGAAGTATTGTGAAGCAAATCCTATACAACACATGAAAGGTGGACAACATCCAGAAGACAGGCCAGAACAATTCCTCAGTTAAGCCACTTCAAAACCAGAAACAATGTCACAAACGTCTTACCTGGTCCAGTGAGAAAAAGGAATGGGCCATCGATTCGTCTTTTCAGGCGAATGCTTTGCATTTCAATTACGAATCAAGGTCCCAGAGCCTGGAAGAAGAGTGGACAGGCATATAATTCAAGTTGCTTGAGGTTCAGTGTGAACTTTCTGCAATGGTGATTTGGGGTGCCATAGCATTTACCACTGTTGGACCACTGTATTTAATAAAATTCAAAGTAAGAGCAGCTTACATTAGATCACTTCTTGCTTCCCTGTGCTGACAAGCTATGGGAGTGCTTATTTTATTTTCTAGCAGGACTTGGGTGTCTTCCCACACTGTCAAAACCACCAAGTTTTTTCAGCGGTGCTCACGTCCAGTCCTTGAGAGCTGCCATCCTGCAACTTTCAGATGAATCCCTGCTTCAACACACCTGAATCAAATGAATGGCTCATTAGCAGGTCTGTTCAGAGTTTTTTTTCTTTAAATATGATTTCAGAGTGACCATTAGTAAGCACTAATACTACACATGCAACTTTGTAAAAGCATTGATTTAAGGTACACATCGATATCTAGCATATCCATGTGTGCACTTTACCAATAAAACTCATTCATGTTGCTGGAACCATTTTGACTGCATATATATTTTCCATTTATGTAACTTGGGTAATAATGCACATGATGGAACATACTTTATTCTTCTGGAAATTCACCGTTTTTCATTTTGGTTTTGGAAGACCCAACACCAACAGGATGTAGACAGGATGTTGACTGAATTAGAATGAAAAAAGACGAACTTACACCAACGGGTCACGATAGAACTGATGTCTGCTGAAAGAGGACTTACAGAAGAACCTAACAGGTGGATCCAGCGCTACAGAGAGTCAACTGAGGGAGACTCTACTTCTTCTTCTTCTTTTCTATTATGGCGGATCGCAAGCCACCTACTGAGGGAGACTAGGGAGAAATTACATATTAAATACTAACGAGAAAATACTGGAAATTGGAAACATGCTATTAACCAACTTACTCTGAAAAAACTCGGGATAACAATGACAGAACACAACAACACAATAAAATCCACTAAACTAAAAAAAAAAGGCAAAACAAAAAAAAGAGGAGCACAGAGATCAATATTCAGTATTGCCCTTTAATAAATGAATAACTTTAGAGGGAAAATAAAGGTGATCATGCATAATGTGGCCTACTTCATTTTGAATAATTTGTACTTAGCTTTGTTGTTTAGGTGAGTGTACCGAATAGAAAGACAGAGGATAAAATCAGCTACCCTGCTCCTAAAATGTTAACTGTGCTTCACAACAAAATATTTTACTGCGAAAAAATATTTAGCACCACACGCATCTGAAAATATCAAACGTCAAATAGCTTAACATTAACATTAATTCAAACAAACTCGAAACGACAAAGGAAATATAATCTGGTTCCATGTTACTTAAACATAGAGGAGGAGTTTTTCCAAGCAAGCAGATACACAACTTTCCAGTAATTTCATTGTAAATAATGAAAGTGACAGTAAGGCAAGATTAAATAACAACCTCTCAGTGTGAATTAAAAAAGGCTGATTATTATGGGGTACTATAATGGATGGGGATTTGAACCATTCAGCTGGGTTAATATTTGCTTGAACTCCAGACACATGTTAGCAAACAGGATCCAGCTAAATAACCCAGAAGAGGAGTCAGGCATATTCACTTGCTTTAGGAAGTGTGATTCACTGACGATTAATGGTCTAATCCTTGGTGCAGAGAAAGGGAAAGCTGCTTCTTTTTGTGATGACCATGATGTCATAAAAGGAAGGGGAGGGCAGGGTCATTTCTACACAAAATGCATTGTCAGCAGGTTTGGAAATGCATCCATTAATTATATTTGAAGTTAAATATTTTTACTGTAAAGATTTAGTTTAAAAGACAGTCAAAATAGGTCCGTAAGGGGGTTAAAGACTTTGAAATTTGATGGCTGTTGATGCTACACAGGCCAGTTTTTTTTTTTGTTTTTTGTTTTTTGTTTTCCAGGAATAGCTGACGTACTGGGATCTTCATACACAACAATCCCCAAGTTTTAGAGAGAGAAATTAAAATAAAAAAAAAGCTAAAATATATGTTGCAGTTTCTGTAGAAGAGCATTGTTGATGTCAGAAGTCAGACCAGAATGGCAAGCAGCAGTTTTTGTCTCGAGGGTCTTGATTTCAGCCGATACATTTATATGGTCGAGTTGGATTTTTGAATCGATGTGAAAAGTTGGATCCATCTTGTACACAATCAACAGTTGAGGCTGCATGTGGTGTAATATTGTGGGGGTTGTTTTCTTGAAATGAGCCAACATCTCAGAGGAACGGTTTCAGTATTTTATCGAAACTATGCCACAAAGTATGGCATAGGAGGTCCAACTCGTTAATAAAAGTAATAAAAGTACTCAGTGAATATCAGTAGTATAAATTTGCTATCAGAAAAGTAGCGGATGGTACATTTTTCAAATTGCTCAGTCATACGAAAAGTATCTGAAAAGTTGCCCTTTTTCCCATTAGGAAGGAAGAGCCCTCTGAGACTTTCAAGAAAGTACACATTTAGTTTTCATAATCTGAAAAGTGTTTTCTGAACTGCAACAAAGTAGGAATTGAAACTTTAATAAAAAAAATAAAAAATACTTTATAAACTATCATCCAAAACAAGGCCTCCCATGAACCTGAATAGGTAAGTTTCCACAAAGTTTTATTGATACTACTTCTCACCTTTGACGTGTTAAGAATAGAACAGTCCAATAGGCTTCAGTCATTAGAGGTTTCTTCAGAAGTGACCTTGACTAGTCAGTGATCACTGACTTTTAATGAAAGATAGAGGTTTATATTTGACTTTCATTGTAGTTGTCACTTTAGGATCTCCCCATATTCAAAAAACATTCAACTTGGTTAATTTGACTACTCACTCCATGGTGAGTTACTGAAACCACTATGTGTTGTACAGGTTGCTTTATGTATGCCACATAAAAGTGTAGAACATAACAAACTTTTTCTTTTACTTTTCCAAAGTTAGCCTTAAAATAATAAATTAAGTGAAGAGAAAAGAGACATCACAATGTATTGCTCTCAAAAGCTTCCCACCTGTGACAAAATGCCAGCTGGAATATCTATTTAAAATGTAAATTTTACAGCCACAACTAAATTCTGGATTGTAATTATGTTCCTTAGTGAGGAACGGAACAATTAGCTATGCAAAAGGAGGTCAGACGAAATGAGCTGAAACGGTTTTTCCTTGGCATACGAAAAATGTAGACGGTGTTCTGTGGCTCCCTAAAGGCACAGTGTGATAACTTATTTCGCAAAAAGAAGAAAATAGCATAAAAAAAAAACTCCTTATAAACTATTTCAGCAGCTAACCTTTAGAAATGTGCAAAAGTCACAACTTCTGGCCTTTAAAGTTGATGCCATTTTGGAATTTTTGAATCCTTGACGTAAAATTGTATTTTTTCTTTTTTTTCTTTTCTAGATTCAGTAAAGCCGTATTACACTCTCTGAAGTTAGACAGCCTAGTTTGAGTATGTGCATGACTGTTAATGAGTAACCGGAGCTTCCACGCCATTACTCTATGAGCTTTCAGTAAATGTATTTTTCTCCTGGATCCACGCTTCACACGTTCCCTTACTTCAGTCACTTATAGCTTTGCTTTCCTTTTCTGTGCACATTCAGTATTGTAATGGGGCTATAATGGAAAGCTCGTATTAAGCATCTTGTGACACAAGATGTGTGAATTCGATAAGTTTTCTGCTGTGCGTTCCAAACTTTTTAAAACAGTATGGTGACACACCATTTCCTCTGTTGCTATTCATGAGCAGTTTTGAATAGTTGCGTTGTACATCATATGTACTAGCAGGCAAACAGTATTGACTTGTACTCCTGAGGACAAGAGGCAGTTAAAAGCAAATGTGCTTTCGTTTTGACCCTAGGGTTAGTATTCCAGGACGATGACAAACGAAATGTGCAAACGACGCACTTTTACTGACAAACTGGGGAGACATTGAATCCGCCCTGAATCCTTCAGGGCTTTTGACAAAACATCAAGATAATATACTGATTTCTAATGATGAATGGGCCATGACTTTAATATCAAGGGTACTAGCTCAACGGAGTGACTGCCATACACACAGAGCTAGTTGTTGTGACCTTGGTCACACCAGCTGGTGGCCATGTCTTTGTCCGATAAGGTGTGTGCTTGCAAATGTGTGCATGCATTAATGCATTTGTGTGTGTGTGTGCGTGTATGCGTGTGTGTGTGTGTGTGTGTGTGTGTGTGTGTGTGT